GACAGTCAGAAGGATAGCAATGTATGTAGTGTGTTAAGTGTGTGGGCCAGTGTTGATGTATGGGTGAGGGGAGGATGGGGAAGGATGGGGGGATGGGGATGAGAGGGGTGAACAAGCAAGCAAGTCACCGCCTTACCCTCTTGATGGGATGGGGCTCGAAGTGACTGCAAGCAAGTCTCCTCTCAGCTCTGGTGAAGAACTACTCAGGATAACCCAAGTAAATTCTCGAGCAACAGTGTTCAGAGTTGCTCAGCTGAAGAGCAGGAACGACGACGTCTTCTGGGCTGGGCTGCAACTCCTGTCATTTCGTAGTCTCTCGGGTATGACCAACGATCCAGATACCCTAAAGTCATGCATCTCCACCTTAGTTATTGAAAATGAATCTTAGAGAGACGTTAACAAAAGACACCAGGATGACACAACTCGAGAACAAAATCCTCAGTCTTGAACAAAAGTTATCAACACCAGGAATGACTAACTGTGGCAAGACCATCCAGTCATAGATAGCCATACAGAACAAATAATATCTCTTAATACAAAGGTTGAAGAAGCAGTAAAAGAATGGAAGAACAACTTAGATAACCAGTTCAGTGACTACTTTGCTCTCCAAGAAGATAAAACTGAACAAGATAAACTATCGGACGCAGTAATAGTTAACAGTCCACTTTTTCCCAGTGATATGAACCAAACAAACAGTGAAGAAATTACTCTCCAGATCATAAAGAACCAAACAAAAGTTACAGTACCAGAGTCAGAAATAAATTTAGGAAGCCAGGTTACTAGGATCCCATGGTAGAAAAAGTGTTATACTTAGATTCCACTCACATGACAGGAAAAAAGACTTAATAATTGCATCTATTAAAGTAAAGAAAGAGGTATACCTAAACGAGTGTCTTACCAAAAAACGCCAGAACCTCCTGTATAGAGTCAGAAAACTTAAGCGGGAGAATAATGGCACAATACACCAATGCTTCACACGGGATGGGAAAATTCTAGTTAGGAAAACAAATGTAGGTCAACTGTACACAATCACGAACGAGATTGATCTATCACGATTTCTCAGGGATACTAATCTTGCAGAGAATAACTAAAGAATGTCCAACCTAAAAGCCTACGTAATGTAGTGTATGTTTTGCTCCATTATTGTTCAAATTTCGTAGTACAATCTCTTAGTAATTAAATAATCAACTACCTCATTATGTGATTTTACTAGTAAGCATAAGTCACCTTATGTAATTTTCTTATTTCCTATTGTTTGCTTAAACATTAGCTGAATTGATACTTTCTCTGTCCATATTACTACCTCATATTTTTTTAAATACTATTAATTGATATTACTTACTAAAATTAATAATTAATTACCATTTTTACTATCAGTACAATTTACTGTTAACATTCTTGACATCTTTTAATTACCATTACTTGTCTAATTACCATAACCTGTTTTAATACCACATTTACTATCTTAGAGTACTCTTAATTACCTTGTACTGCCATATAACCTCTAGTATAACTACCAGTGACATTACTTTTTCACTTTTTTGTAATCATTATTACTTACTAAAATTTTATTAAACATCATATTTACTACCAGTCAATTTTACTTTTGTACATTAATCATTATTTTATACTTCCCATAACATTTTGTTGCCAAATTTCCAAGTTTGTATATTCAATTCCAACCTTTATATTATCCTGTGTACCTGTGTACCTGCGTATCTGTGTACCTGTGTACCTGCATATCTGTGTACCTGTGTACCTGTCTACCATCTTACTACCATATTATAACCAAGTCATTGCCATTGTTATTTTTTACTTATTATTCTTTTGGTACTTTAATTTGTGAATTTTATTTTGTCAATTTAAATCTAGTTATACTCTTCATCTTGTTAACAACCTATACCAGACTCTAATGCAATTGCAAGTACCATTTTAATTTGTATTTTTATATTATAAGTTTATATTATAAGTTTATATTATAAGTCCTACTCTAAGATTGTTTTCATATCTTAGTGACTATATTGTGTGTGCAATTAGTATATATTTCAATTATATTATTGTTCAAGGCCCTTAACTATCTTTTGCTAACTAGTACCAATTACCTCATATATTTTTTTTTCTTTTTTTTTATTCTTTTGCTACCTTAACTTGTATATTTTATCTTGTCAATTTAAATCTAGTTATACTCTAATTCTTGTAAACAACTTATATAACACCTTAGTGCAATTACAAGTGAGAGTCTTGTGCTATTTTTAATTTGTATTTTTATATTATTCGTTTATACCTAGTTGTACTTTAGCTCATTCCAGCACAACACATAGACAACACCAACTTCATTATGTGTATTAGTGACTATACTCAATATGACCAAAAATGCTTTAGCTATATAATATACTTATCCAAACTTCCCACCACTGCAGATATCAGTACTAGAACTCAACACACAACTCAGAATATAAATAGCCATAATTTAAACCTAGAAGATGATCACGTTGACCCTGATCTAAACCTCCATAATCTGACACCCAATCAAAACCTATTGGAAAGTAACTGCCTTTACTACACAGCATCACAAGCCAGCACTATCCTAAACAATGCTAAAAGTCTATCAGTACTTAACTACAACATCAGGTCCTTAAGCAAACACTATGATGACCTCCTGGCACTCCTTGAGTCATTAAAGACACCCTTCTCCTGCATTATTCTTACTGAGACCTGGCTTAAGCAGGACAAATAGATATCTACCCTCTACCAGATACACAGCAATCCACAACTGCAGACCATACCAAATTTGGGGGGGTGGTATTGCAATCTATTACTCTAATCAATTATCTTGTATTAGCACCATTTTGCTTTAGTGATGAATATGGGGAATACATTTTTGCTATTATACTGTAAAAAAGCTTAAGACGCCTATAACAATCTGTGCCATTTACCGGATACCCACACAAAACATCCCAAATTTCAGTGAGAAATTAAAGGCACTAATAACAGACAGACAATGAATAAGCACCACCTTCTCTTAGCTGGAGACTTCAACATCAACCTTGGCCTACTAGATGATCAGCCTTAACTGATTTCATCAACAATATGAACAACACACTTCTCATCCCAACAATAACAAAACCCAAAACCAGGCTCACTGAGACAAGTGCAACCATAATAGACCACTTAGGGACCAAAAACACTAGCCCCCCTTAAATCAGAGATAATCACAGATAGCACTACAGACCACTACCCTACCTTCCTCTTGACAAACATTAGTAAACCACCCACTTGAATACAACAAAGTTTCATTTAGACTCCATGACGAGGCCTCAATAAGGAAAATTCACGCCCGACCCAGAGACTGTTGACTGGCCTACAGAATTCTCCAAGGGCCAATGGGATTGATGACTGGACAGACAATTTCTTAACAAATTACTTAGACTATACAACAAAAATTGTCCTAAAAAAACGAAACAGATCACAAACAAACGGCTTGGTTGCCCATGGCTAACCAGCACCATTTTTGAAATCCATTGATAAGAAACACCAATATGAAAAGCAACATAGACAGGGCTTAATACACAAAGACATTCTTAAACACTATTCATCAGTCCTCACCAAAGTAATAAAGAAAGCCAAACAGCTGTACTACTCCAGTAGATTCACTGGGCACAAGAGGAGATATAAAAAAAACCTGGAAAACACTCTCAGATTCTAGGGACCCACAAACTGGGAAAAAAAAAACAATATTGTCCTAACTAAACCTAATGAAACACCACTACATCCCACTGACACAGCTAACAAGAAAAAACGACTTTTTCCAACCATAGGATCTAATCTCGCCCAAAAAAATCCCATGTACCAATGCCCATGCCCCGGGGATTTACCTAGATGGGAAAATTTCCAAATTCTTCTATCTTGCACCAACTGAGCCCACGGAAGTCACCAAGATTATAAAGTCACTTAAAAATAACTCAGGGAATCTGTCTCATGTCCCACCATTATTGTACAAGCGAGCGCCCCATGTCCTTTCGCATGCTATTTTCATTACTTTTTAACAAGTCACTAGAAACTAGCACCTTCCCGAAACTACTCAAGACGGCAAGGGTTACACCAATACATGAAGGTGGTGGCCGTACAGATTTAAACAACTATAGGCCAATATCAAACTTACCATTGCTATCCAAAATCTTTGAGAAACTCGTGCACAGGAGACTATATTCATTTATAATGGCACAAAACATACTCAACCCCTGCCAATTTGGGGTTCAGGAAAAATAAAGCACTAACCCATGCAATCATAAAAATGCTAGATCTGCTGTATACAGCATTGGAAAATAAGGAATATCCACTAGGAATTTTTATTGACCTAAGAAAAGCTTTTGACACTTTAGACCACGGCATCCTACTCCACAAACTTGACCATTATGGTATAAGGGGCCATGCGCTTGCATATTTCAAATCTTACCTTACTAATAGGTATCAGTATGTCACCATTAAAGACACAGCATCAACAACACAGCCACTTGATACTGGAGTTCCGTAGGGAAGTGTCCTTGGTCCCCTGCTCTTCCTCATATACATCAATGATCTTCCAAACGTATCTCAACACCTGAACCCCATTCTCTTTGCTGACGACACGACTTATGGTCGCAGGCCGCCGAGTCTGAGCCTAAATACACCAAAAAATCGAAAAAATATGAAAAATGAGTTAATCTTACCGAAAAATAGAGCAAAGATCTGGCAACATTTTGGTGTGCGCCTCGTCTCTGTACGATAATTACATATAAAGCTATCGTAATTATAACAATGGCAACTACGTCATCAGCATGACGCGGCCCAGCTCACCATAACAATAACACGTGCTCCAGCGCGACTCGCTTCATAAAACAGTATCACAGGTATTTTTTTCCTTTTTTTTTTGGTGTATTTTTTAGCTAGATCTTCTAAATAGTAACTGGCAACCATCAGGTTAGCTGTGAGAAGGAGCTGCTCACACCATATCAAGTCAGTGCCGACTGGAAGTCTGATGAGAGAGTGGGTGTGTCACTTTGTCTGACAGCTGACTACCCTTGGAACGTTACTTTCTGCCTTTCATTGTATACATTTTTGGTACACAATGCCTGCAAAGAAGAAGCAGTTTGCCAAGAACATTAGCCACAAGAGGAAAAGGCACATAGAAGCAATGATAAGGTCTATACAAGCAAAGTGAGCAGCAGCTGCTGTGGCTGGTGACGCCGCCACGATGCTAGTACCACCACGTGGTGACGCCGCCACCATGCTAGTACCACCAGCCTCCTCTCAACACCTGTCCTTGTTCACTGCTACTGAACTATTGGATATTTCATGTTCAGAAACAAGTTAGACAAAATATAGGAGCCCCGCAAATATGCCCACCTCCACCACGGCTGCTACTACCACAACTACTACCACCACGGCTGCTACTACCACAACTACTACCTCCACTGCTGCTACTACCACAACTACTACCTCCACTGCTGCCTGGAGGACATTAGATAATCATGTGTCCACCTACATCCAGTCATAGGTACGTAATTATTAGTGTTTTTTTGGTATATTTTTATATTGTTATGTGTATAAATATCATATATGGGTGCAATTACATGTATCTGTACATAATCACTGGGAATAATCACTGGGAATAATCACTGGGAATAATCACTGGGAATAATCACTGGGAATAGGATTTTGAGAATTCATTTTTCTTTTCAGATTGATTGGGATGGATTTTTCAGATTGGCCGGCCACCAGAGAACTTCAGGACAAAGGGATCTTCATGGAACTTTAGGAATAATGTCTATATAACCAGTTCTACTCTCAATAAACGTATAAAGGCACTATGAGTATTTTTACCCACTGTATAGTAATGTTCAATGTATTTGTTGATTTTTTTCAAAAGTGCATTTATTTGTATTTTTCTGAGGTAAAACCATTATTTATGAACCGATCATTCTGAATTTTACAAAAGTTATAATAATCCCTTCAATTTTGCATAAATTGATGTAAAGTGCAAAAAAAATTTTTTTAAATAAAGTCAAGACATAATAATATTTTTTTTGGGTACCATAAAACATCGTTATTGCATTATTTATATCCTTAGATGGTCAAATGGCCATGACTTTATCATTTTTTATGATTATCAACGATGATTTTCGAGATTGTCATATTGACTTGCGTTGCTTAAGTGTTGCCATGTCCAATTTTTCTCATTTTTTTTGTGATAACTTTATTATGGACGATCTTGATGCAACTTTTTACCACATGAGGCTCAATATGCCTAAGTCTCTGTGTAAAAATATCACGAAATCGGCAAAAGGAAAAAAAAAAAAAATTCAGGATGCCTGTTACCTTTATGCAGTGTGTAAGGTCAGGTTAGTGCATGCAGGGATGCGGTGCTGGACTCTACAGTCTACACAATGACAAATCAAATTGTTATGTGTAGGTTGGTAGACAGCAACCGCCCAGGGAGGTACTACGTCCTGCAGATGGACTGTGAAACAATAAATGTCGTGTTTTGCATGATGGGTAGATTGCTGGGTTTCTTTTTTGTCTCATAACACGCTAAGTAACAGGGATATCTTGCTACTCCTACTACACTTTGGTCACACTTCACAGGACACGACATGCAGATATAGATATACAACATCTGGTTTTTCTCCTTTTCTAAATAGCTCTTGGTTCTTTTTTATTTCTTCATTGTCCATGGGGAAGTGGAAAGAATCCTTTCCTCCGTAAGCCATGCGTTGTCGTTATGAGTGCGACTAAAATGCGGAGCAATGGGCTCGTATACCCTTCTCCTGTATACAATTACTAAAAAGAGAGAGAAAAACTATATAAAACTGGGGTTGCTTAAATGTGCGTGGATGTAGTGGCGGATGACAAGAAACGATGATTGCTGATGTTATGAATGAAAAGAAGTTGGATGTTCCTGGCTAAGCGAAAAAAAGCTGAGGGGGTAGGAGAGTTTCAGTGGGGGGGAAATAAATGGGAATTTTAAATCTTGAGTATCTGAGGAGGTTAGAGCAAAGGAAGGGGTAGCAGTAAATGTTAATGATCAGTTATGGAAGGAGAAAAGAGAATATGAATGTGTAATTCAAGAATTTATGTGGATTTAAAAGTAACAGGTTGGATGCGAGAGTGGGTCATAAAAGCGTGTATGCACCTGAGAAGAGAGGGAAAGCAGAGTGAGAGAGAGAGATTTGGGAGATGATAGTGAATGTCTTGGAGCCTTTGTTTGAACCAAGTGAGAGGAGTAATTGTGGTAGGGGATTGAATGCTAAAAGTAGGAGAAAAACTTTTAGAGAGGGTGTGGTAGGTAAGTTTGGGGGTGCAGGTGTAAATGATAATGGGAGCCCTTTGATTGAACTTTGTTATAGAAAGGGGTATTAGTTATAGGAAATACATATTTTAAGAAAAGAGGATAAATAAGTATAAAGGATATGATTAGGGGCGAATGACAGTAGTTGTTGGATTATGTATTGGTAGATAAAAGACTGTTGAGTAGACTTCAGGATGTACATGTTTATAGAGGGGCCACAGATATATCAGATAATTTCTAGTTGTAGCTACACGGAGAGTAAAGGTAGATGGGTCACCAAGGAGATAGAGCATCAGGGAAGAGAGAGGTGAAGGTTTTATAAACTAAATGATGGAGGCAGTTTGGTAAGATATAAACAGCATTGAAGGATAGATGGGCTAATGAGAGCATAGGCAATTGGGGGTGAAGAGGTATGCGGGTAGGTTTAATAATGTAGTGTTGAGTGTTCCGCAGAAAGTTTGTGGTTACAGGAAAGTGGGTGCAGGAGGGAAGAGGAGCGATTGGTGGAATGATGATGTAAAGAGAGTTAAGTAAGGTGAGAAACGTTAGCATATGAGAAGTTTTACAAAGTTAGAAGTGATGCAAGGAGGGAAGAGTATATGGAGAAAAAGAGAGAAGTTAAGAGAGTGGTGAAGGCACTGTAAAAAGAGAGCAAATGAGAGAGTGGGTGAGATGTTATCAACCAAATTTGTTGAAAATAAGAAAAAGTTTTGGAGTGAGATTAAACAAGTTAAGAAAGCCTAGAGAACAAATGTATTTGTCAGTTAACAATAGGAGAGGAGAGTTATTAAATGGAGGTTAGAGTATTGGGAAGATGGAAGGAAATATTTTGAGGAATGTTAAAAGTTGTATGAAGATAGGGAAGCTGTGATTTCGTGTATAGGGCAAGGTGGAATAACATTTGTAGGAGTGAGGAAGAGCCAGTTGTGAGTGATGTGGGGGAAGTTCGTGAGGAGTGGTAAAATGAAAGGGGTAAGGCAGCGGGATTGATGGGATAAGATTGAAATGTTTTTAAATGCAGGTGTGGATATAGTTTTGGAGTGGTTGGTTGCAATTATTTAATAAATGTATGGAAGAGGGTAAGGTACTAGGGATTGGCAGAGAGCATGATAGTTCTTTGTATAAAGGCAACGGGGATAAAAGAGAGTGCAAAAATTATAGGGGGATAAGTCTGTTGAGTGTACCTGGTAAAGTGTTGTATGGTAGAGTTATAATTGAAGATTAAGCGTACGCGGAGAATAGGATAGCAGATGAACAGGAGGCTTTAGGAAAGTAGGGGGTGTGTGGACAGGTGTTTATAGTGAAACATATAAGTGAACAGTATTTAGATTAGGCTCTAAAGGAGGTCCTTTGTGGCAGTTATGGATTTGGAAAAGGCGTATGACAGGGTGGATAGGGGGCAATGTGCCCAGATGTGGCAAGTCGTATGGTGTCAGGAGGTAGGTTACTGAAAGCGGTGAAGAGTTTTCCGAGGTAGTGAGGCTCAAGTTAGAGTATGTAGAAAGAGGGAAATTTTTTCCCAGTAAAAGTAGGCCTTAGACAAGATGTGTGATTGTCACCGTGGTTGTTTAATATATTATAGATGGGGTTGTAAGAGACGTAAATGCGAGGGTCTTGGCAAGAGGCTTGGAGTTAAAGATAAAGACTCACACACAAAGTGGGAGTTGTCACAGCTGCTCTTTGCTGATGGACACTGTGCTCTGGGAGATTCTGAAGATGAAGTTGCAGAGATTGAGTGGATGAATTTGGTAGGGGTGTGCAAAAGAAGAAAATTAAAGGTGAATACAGGAAAGAGTAAGGTTATGAGGATAACAAAAAGATTAGGTGATGAAAGATTGAATATCAGATTGGAGGGAAAAGGGGTATGGAGGAGGTGAAGTATTCAGATATTTGGGAGTGGACGTGTCAGCGGATGGGTCTATGAAAGATGAGGTGAATCATAGAATTGTTTGAGGGAAAAAGAGTGAGTGGGCACTTAGGAGTCTGTGGAGACAAAGAACTTTGTCTTGGAGGCAAAGAGGGGAATGTATGAAGAGTATAGTTTTACCAACGCTCTTTTTGGGTGTGAAGCGTGGGTGATGAATGTTGCAGCGAGGAGAAGGCTGGAGGCAGTGGAGATGTCATGTTGAGGGCAATGTGTGGTGTGAATATAATGCAGAGAATTCGTAGTTTGGAAGTTAGGAGGAGGTGCGGGATTACCAAAACTGTTGTCCAGAGGGCTGAGGAAGGGTTGTTGAGGTGGTTCGGGGCATGTAGAGAGAATGGAGCGAAACAGAATGGGCTTCAAAAGTGTATCAGTCTGTAGTGGAAGGAAGGCGGGGGTGGGGTTTTTGGCCCAGGAAGGGTTGGAGGGAGGGGGTAAAGGAGGTTTTTGTGTGCGAGGGCTTGGCTTCAGCAGGCCCTGCGTGAGCGTGTTTGATAGGAGTGAATGGAGACAAATGGTTTTTAATACTTGACGTGCTGTTGGAGTGTGAGCAAAGTACATTTATGAAGGGATTTAGGGAAACCGGCAGGCCGGACTTGAGTCCTGGAGATGGGAAGTACAGTGCCTGCACTCTGAAGGAGGGGTGTTAATGTTGCAGTTTAAAAACTGTAGTGTAAAGCACCCTTCTGGCAAGACAGTGATGGAGTGAATGATGGTGAAAGTTTTTCTTTTTCGGGCCACCCCGCCTTGGTGGAATCGGCCGGTGTGTGTGTATTAAAAAAAAAAAAAAAAAAAAAAAAAAAAAAAAAAAAAATATATATATATATATTTATATATATATATATTTTAATATTTTAAAATTATATAAAATTTTTATATTTATATTTATTTTATATTTAATATATTTTCGTACTAAAAAAAGCCGAAATTACAAAATTAGGCTGAGCTATTTAAAAAAAATAAATTTCTTTTTGCCCAAAAATTTTTTATAGATAGCTAATCTTTTTTTAATTTAACAAAAATATAATTTTTTTTTTTGGACTAAAAAAAAATTAGAAACCTCCCCAAACATCGCAAAAAGTTTTAAATTTTTTTTTTTAGTTTAAATTTTCTGCTTATATATCGTCGATCAATTTTAATTATTTTAAATTAAATCTATGATAAATTTTTTTTTTCGTTTTTCTCACATCGATTTCCCTGATTTATGGAAAAAATTTTTTCAATGGGGCCCAAACGGGAAACAAATTCGGTTTTTAAGGAAACGACATTTTTTCTGTGTTTAAAACATAAAACAGAAAAAAACTAGTCGGGAAAGAATTCAAACCCCACAAAGGGGTGACTTTTCAGCTTTCCCAAAGGGGCCCCTCTCCCGTTAACCATTCGCCAGAGATGTTGACGTTTTTTCCCCACCCCGGGCATCCGTGACCCTTTCAAGCTTGGGCCTTTCCCCTGTATGTTCGGGTTCTCATAATCGATTTTTATATCAATCCCCACCCCAGAAACGGAAGCAAAAAGAGAAACACAGTCGCGGATTCAAACCCCGGGGAAAGGGTCGTGGGTTCGATCAATCCCCAATTTACTTTAGCCAGTAAAACTGGGAGTCACTCCCATCCCCTAAACCCAGGTTAGTGATAAGTTTTTTTCATAAAATTCCTGTTACACCCAGTGAACTTGAAAGAGATTGTAAAAATTGTTTAAAACTTATGGGGTCTGGCT